TTATTAAAATAATAATAAGAGTTGGTTGCAATTGAATCAAAGTGTGGTTGTGATCTTTAGCTATTAATGCAGCCAGACAGAGACAATGATAAGTTTGGATTCTTCCATTTTTTGCCGAGACGGAAAATGTGAGTAAAGATATATACACAACTCACATTCCCAAGTAAGATTCGGAATTGAAACTATATTATGTCAACAATTTCATAAAATTGAATACCAAATCAAACTCCTTTTTTTTCTAATTCCAATTAGACTTCCATATAAATTGGGAAAGTTATAGAAAATGAAAGACCTTTTTCTATTAGTTACATAATTGCAAGAAACATTCCCCTCCTTACATGTTTTGGTCGGAATTTACGTGGATGAGAAGAAGATTGACTTGTAAGTTCAAATCCATTTGCTCACTATTATACAAACAATTTTTTTTTTATATAAAAAAATTGTGTTGTGGATATAACAAAATAGATTATAAGTGTTAGAATTGAATCTCAAATTTATTTATTTTTTGGATAATTTTGATTTTATTTATTTATTGTTAATAACATCTCCTACACTTCGCTTTAACTCGTACAACCTATTCATAACTACTTCTTTCATTCTTTCTATCACTTGCTGTGACGTCTCCTCTACTTGCTTGAACATCCTTTGTTTCCTTTCTCTCCATATCAAGTAAAGACTAGCATTTTATGCCACACGTAAGATGATTGAAATCAGAGCCCTCCCCTTTAGCTTTTTTTTCAGCCCAATCTAGGTCGGCAGCCCAGCACTCAATTCTCCGGTTGATCCTACATATCTGCAGTATTTTCTTCCAGACTACTTTAGTATAGACACAGTCAAAAAAACATTTGATCCCTTGGCTCATCCTTTCCCTCACACAAGTAATATTTGCTCTCAATCCCCATACCCCATTTTCTCAACCCGTTCTTAGTTGGGAATCTGTTCTGAATAACCATCCAGATAATTAATGAATTCTTAGGAATATGGAATTTAAACCACAGAATCCAATGCCATCCAACCTCCTCCCGCTTTGATTTGATTGCATTCCAGATTACTTTTGTCGAGTAAATGGCCATACTACTACACCATTGTTTATTTTGATAACTTGTTGGGCAATTTGCTACAGTTAAAGAATCTCAAATTTATTAATATTACTTTCAAAGATGAATATATAATCTAATTGAGTTAAATTCGGATTTCATTACACAACCAACTTTCAAAAGGGTTGGCATTAATAATTGAGGATGGTTTTAGCCACGTTGGAAACAGGCGTCGGCAACTAAAAAGAAGAGTTTTGGAGTACTTGCTTTTTGAATTAAATGCTGATTTTGGAGTTATGCACTTTTTTTTTTTTTGAAGTTCACTTTTTGAAATAGGTCTTTGTCAAATTCTTAAGGCAGGCTTTCGATCTGATTGAAACATTTTTTTCGTCCCATTTTGCTTTCATGGTTTGCCCTGGTAAACACGGTGCATGTGATCGATGCGTGTTCAGAAGCATATATCAAGCCGTGATGGTGGTTGTCAATGGACGAGATGAGAAGGGTAGTGAAGTGGAGCCCGGATTTTGTTTCTTCTTTCTTCCATTTTGCTTGGAACATTTACATTGATCGAATTTTTTTAAATTGTTTTTTTATGTGTGATCATTGGCTTTAATTCCAATTAAAAAAAGGACATGAGAAGTGTTTCAGTTAGATTAATGTAAGTTTTGTATTTTTTTTATTTTTAAATCAAAATATTAAAATTAAACATATTATTTTGATATAAGTTAATTATGAATTTAATTTTAATCTAATGATAAAAAAATATATAAAACTTACGCCAATATCAATAGATTTTTATTTCGTATATATCTGCAGATATATATATATATATTAATTGATACTAATGTGATTAATGCATATCACATAATTATTAAGGGTATTCAAAAATTAATTATTAATCTCGAGGCTCATGATTGTAACTTGTAAGTTTACTTGTATTTATAGTAAAAAAAAATTTATATAAAAATATATCATTTACAATAATTGTATTATAATAATTAATCAAAATTCATAATTGTATATGATTTATTAAAATATTATATAAAATCTATATTTATAAATAATAAATTTTTATAAAATTTTTCATTGTAATTGAATAATCATAAATTTGTAGTAAACCCAAAAAAAAAAAAAAGATTGCAGAGGAAAGGTTCCCTATATTCGAGTACTCGAGATCAGAGGAATTGGAGTTCAACCTCTCCTTCGTAATAGAATTGGCATTAGTTTTTTTTAGTTTTTAATACTCTGTCTTTAATTTTCATTAAAAAAATGTTTGAAGTTTAATTATCATATAATACTCTCTTAAGAGAACATCAATCACTGACGAATTTAATATTTTTTTAAGATCTCTACTTATAATTTGTATTATCTATAAAATTGTTTACAAATTTATCAATTTTTTTAATAAAAATAAGTATTCAAAAAACTTTTAAAGATGTCCAGAGAAAATTTTTTTATTTTTTGTTTTTCATCTTTGAATTTGTCCATTAACACCTTAACTACTAAATATGTGGATCCGCAGCTCTGGCAATAATATAATAGACATCCCTCGTCCATTTCTTCATTCTACCCTTCTTGTTTTCTGTTAGCATAACAATTTTTATTATTTCTTGACAAAAAGTTTTCTTTTTTCAGTCACACGTCTGAACTCCATTTACGTTTTATAGGACTCCATTAATCTTGAGAAGAAATAAAAAATTAATCTTTTTCCCATCATCTCTCATTAATTTGATTGAATCAATTATGAAAAACCCAAACTGGTCCTTCTGCTCCTTAATCAGTCAAAGAGAAACAAAAGTGGAAAAGTGGGAGGTGAACCTTTACTAAAAGACCGAGAAGGTTACTCTTGTCGCCAGATACATCCTCATCGTTATCATCACTCATTATCATCATTATGTCCACCTACGTAGACTTTTTTCAACATGCAAATACTAGGCTTGAGTTAGCCGCCTGAGGCCTTGCATCAATGCGTGTATCAAGTAACAAAATGCAGTATTCAAACTTGGTCTTTGAACAAGAGAATTCATGCACCGATTATTAAATACGTTTCATAAAAAACCAAGTTTATATAACTTACTAGTTCTTTTATGGTGTACTCAATTGAACGAATATTACAATTTCACCATTCAATTACTAGTATTTTTTTTTTTAATTTATGATCACAATCAATGATCAGACAACCCCTATCCAGTTAAGCACAATCACTTTCCATTCTTGCTGTCCTAGTATAATCTTCTTGGATCCATCTGTGTAGATCATACATCAATCCGACCGATGCCCCAAGTGAAAAAATGTTTTAAGTAAAAAAAAAAAAAAAAGAAACAAGAAATGAAGACATACCCCACGAATGATGATTACAAATTAAAAGCTAATTCCAACCAGGCCTAGTTGTGGACCCTTAATTATTGCGAGCTGGAAAAGCGATGTGGCTGTTCATGCCATGAGTAAAAGGCTGTAACTTGTCAAGACTTTAGACACCTAAGAAATAGATGGGTTTGTCTCAAGAAAAAGCATCAAATTTATGCTATAATTTAAATGATTGTAATGTGGCATCCGTTTTTAAAATTCGCTTTTAGGTTCAACGCATGTGAACTGTTTGGACCACAAGAAAATTCATTGGTAAGAATGACTTTGAATCAATTTTAAGTATATAAGCAATTCCTTCAATCTTTCTCTTCAATGCAACTATCTTCATGTCTACAATCTACATAAGTAGAAATTAAGAATGTTCAGCAAATAAAGCCCCTATTTTTGCTTTATATTCGACATAAACTGAGTGTAAATCAGAAGGAAATTCTTTTATATATTTAAGTACACATGATTTTAGTAGCTTTGAATGGTTAGGGTTTAATGGCATATAGATCAAGACCAGAAGATAAACTTTTAGTCGTGTGCTACTAACCAACGAGTTTTTAAGGGTCAAGGTAACCTTAGCTGTATTCGCTCGCTCTGTCACGCTATGCTCTGGGTCTTAAATGCAAAACTTGGAGTCATGTTTTCGACGTCTCTATTTGAAACTCTTTTTTGCAAATTCCTGATAATTGATAGGGTGGGCGGCTGCTCTTACCCTGACAGGTTGCAGCCCTTTTTGCCCTTTTTGGTACGGATCAAGATCTGCCCCAAAAGTCTGCATTTGGTGTATTCTCCAAGTGGACATATGAGGCGCTTTGCTTTCAGTTGTTGCCGTGATAGATAGGGTACAAGTGAGACAATACAGTGATGGCTGGCTGTACTGCATTTGGTGGCGTTTTGTTCAAACAACAGTAGCAGAAGAGAAAAGTGGGCTTTTGTTAAGGATCCATCAGCTATCAGGCTCTGTCGTTGGAATATGCTGCTGGTGCGTATGGTGGAGAATTCTTCTTGAGCCTCTCAAAGTTAAGATTCCATGAGATGAAACTACGTAGTTCAACCCAAAACCATGAGAAGAAACCAGTGATTCACCGTCCAAGCAATCCTTTAGCAAATATTTTGAAATCTGCTTTCCATGTATCAAATCAAATTACCTTGTACGTAAGAAACGCATCTTATTTAAACCAAAAATAATATTAAATCCAATAAGAATTACTTTATTCTCAGCACTTTTGATTCGGGTGACACATTTCTCTTCAGTTAAAGAAGAGACCTAGATATGCCTAATGATTTTTATATGGTTATGATGAAGCATTTCCGATAACCCCAAAACATTTTTATACAATATGTGCTGCACTTCATAATAAAACTAAAAAGTTTCAAGATAAAAAATTCTTTTAATATCCTTCCTCCTAGTTGCCATATATTTTGACATGGAATACGAAACATGATTAGACATACTTAACTGAAACCTCGGTCCCATGGCTTAAACCACTTCTACTTTTAATGCAATTTCAGTGAGACTGCCCGTCTAAAAGATGTTTAGATGCACTAACCAAACTGGCATCTTTGAAAATCACAAATTCAGCACATGAATAAAAACAAACAATAATGTTGGAACAAAACGTAATATTGGATTCAAATACTTGAGATTCTCTTACAAGCAGACATTAAACTGTTTGTAGTTTTAAATAGTCATCCTAAAAAGGCTCTGCTAGGAACTAAAAGGAAACTGCATCATTTTACAGACAGAGACACTCATTCGTACCCTAAAAATTAAAGCTTCATAAAAGCACAGCATGACATTACTAATCATTCAATATTTCGGAGGTGGCTGCTGGGTTGGCAACAAACCGAAACGTTTCTTCAAAAGAAATCTTTGTCTTGAATATTTGTCATCTGGGGAGAAACGAGCTGCACAAAAGTTCATAAAAGAAAAAAGGTCATTAGAAAACATAAAGTCCATGGCACTTTCCAATAAGATTTCTATGCAATTTTCCAAAAGAAAAAAAAAAATTATGCCTTGATCCTACTACAAACTTTGAAATAACCAGAAAAAAAAATTCATGTAACAGCCTAACATGCCAAGCTAATGTTATCAGCATTATAGTTAAGAGACATAGTCGATACGATTTGATACCAACTTGTCAATAAAAGGAAAAAAAACAGATAGCTAATGACAATGTGGTGAGAACAATACTAATTCTCTACCAAAATGGAACTTCTTTATTGATTTTCACACCAAAACAGACAAAATAAATATATACTGATCAAATCAGCTTACAGAAAGGAATTTATATAGGTAATGTTAAAGTAGCCATATGAATTTGTTTAGGTGCATCGATAGACCAAGTCAAACACAAAATGTATAAGAATTTCTAAAAAAGCGACACTTAATCAGGAAGACCATCAAGAAAACCAAAAAGACCGAAAAACTACTCCCCTTGTCCCATTTTCCTTGTCCATCTTTTCTTTTAGGGATGTGCCCAAATTATGTTCTATTTCCATTTTTGAACATCTAAAACTCTTATTTTTTATGATTTTTTTTTACTTTTTGACATTAAAATCATGGAACTTTAATTTTATGAAAAAATTTAAATATTAATATTAAATATATTAAAGTTAAAATTTTTTCTTAAACTCCGTAAAAGTCAATTCATGACAAATATTTTGGGACAGGGGAGTATAAAACTACTATTAATCAGTGTCTGTCAGAAATGATATAAATATATCAGGCCTTATTACCTGGATGAGCAGACTGAGTAGGCATCCCCAGTGGTGATTCTTTCTGCATACAAAATCCATACAAATGTAAATATAGAGAAATTACAGGTGAAATATTGATCATATATAAATTAGAAACCTAACATATCGCTAACAAGAAGATAATAAGATGAAAGCCAGACATGATATGACTGCAGGAGAGAGATTAAAACCTAATCGTAGTGTCAACTTTCACATTTAAATGCATTTCTCAGGAGAGTGCAAGTTTATTCAGCCACCAACCAACTCAATTATTATGGAAAAGAAATCCTACCAAGAAGAAAAAGTCCTTGACATTCCACAGAATAAATCTCAGCTACAGTACAAGTTTAAGATCAAATTAAACTAAAAACTCAGCTTTGAATTTTTTTTTTTTAAAGAAAGGGTTATAACTTATAAGTTCCAAGATTGCAAAAGGCTTTAGTTCATTACATGCAAGGTTGTGCTTCCCACAATCTCAATCGCCATAAACAAAACATACAAATTTAAGGAATTAACACAAACCTGAGATGATTTGAACTTTTAACTAATTATTATCAATAAAAAAAAAAAGAAAAGAATGGGATTTTACCTTAGTGGTGTAAACTTTGTCACCATTCTCATTTATGTAGAACTGGAGATACATCTTATACAAACAAAACGAATAGCAACTGTAAAAAGAGAGAAAGATTAGAAGTTTCATGCAATTAAAAGAAAACCCAGAAAGAAAAACCAAGTATACGAAGGAAATTGTGAATTTGTTGATCGGAGCCGCACCTTCTCTGTTGGGGGTTGGAGAAGCAAACAAGGACAATGAAATGTGGTGAATTTGTTAGGGTTTTAGACTTTTAGTGAGGTGAGTGGTGATTCTGATGGGCCACTACAAGCTTAAGAACAGCTATCGATGAAATTGGGCCAATAGTATAAACAATCGAAACTCCTTCTATTAATTTAGGCTGGGCCGAATGCATTATTAACATTTTATTCGACGGTGGAGAATTGTAGTATATACAAAACCATTATCTGAACAATAATTATTAATTTAAAGAAAATGAAAGTTATTTCCCTACGTATAATTGTACGTGGAATCAATGGTTAGAGTTAAGGGGTATCTAAATGCATCCAACTTTTTTTTTCTTCACACTTTTATTTTTTTATTTTTTAAGTACAATTATTTAATTATATTTCTCTTAAATTTTCAAATATTCATATCTAATAAATTTTATAACTTGATAGGCAATTTTTAAATGCATCCTATTTTTTTCACATCTTCTTTTTTTTTATTTTTTAAGTAAAATTATTAATTACCTTTCTCACAAGTTTTTTTATATTTATATTCAATAAATTTTATAACTTATCAAAAATAAAATTTTGATAAATTTTATAACTTATTAGAAATAAATTTTCATAAACTTTTTCAAAAAGTTTTGTAATAAAACTTTTCAGAAATCTATTTTCATAAAGAAAACTTATAAAATTTTTAAGAAAAATTATAAAAAAAAGATTTTATTCTAGATTTTTATTAATTGATGTAATAAGAAATTATTGTTGAAAAAATAATAAATTTTAAAATTAATAAAAAAGTTGATTTTATTATTTTAATCTTAAAGAAATAACAGAATCTTATGAAATTATAATTAAACATTTCATCTATTAATATTATGAGGGATGATGAATAAACTATAAGGTTTTATCAACATTTAAGAGCTAAAAATCTTTAAATTTGTATAAGTAATACTAATAAATACTATATAAATTTTTTTAGAATATAATATGTTAATTGAAAAAACCTATCATAATAAATTGATGGATAGATTTCTCCAAAAATTTCAATTTAATTAGAACTATTACAAAATTTTACTAATCGATACAAAAAAAAAAAAGGAAATAATGAATTTTAAATTTATAAAAAATTATATTTATTATTTTATTTTTAATTTATTTAAAATTTCATAAGATATTTTTTTCTAAAATCAAAATAGTAAAATTAAGTTTTTTCATTAATTTTAAAATTTATGATTTTTTTAATAATTACTTTTTTAATCACACCCAATTAATACAAATTTCTAATAGAATTCTCTATTTTTTAAATTTTTCTTAAAATTCTAATTTTAAAAAATAATTTTTGAAAAATTTTATAACTTATTGAATATGAATATTCAAAAACTTTTGAGAAAAATAATTAATAATTTTCTTATAAAAATTTTTTTAAAAAAAAAGTATGAAGAAAAAAACTTGAGATGCATTTATAAGTAGCCTTAGAATTATGAAAAGACAATTTGCTCATTTTAGGGAAATCATTAGTTTTGACAGTTTGGTTTTCTTTACCCTGTTGCATCTTCACTTCATTTTATCAAGGAAGCATGAAGAATTGCAATGATGATAAGTGGAAGTGATTTAAGGTATAAATCAATAAAAAAAATGATTTTTATTTTGCTGTTTCATGTATCGTTTTAAAAGTAAGTTTGACTTACGTGAAATCGTATCGGGGCATTTGGTGAGACATATATGAGAGTTCATGTAAATACGGTCGGCAAACTTAATTATCGAATTTGTTTTAAAAGTAATTATTTTGTTGTCTCATCTAAAGAATTTATATTAGGTTTAGGTTTCTAACTAATCGTACTGTCGTATAAAGTAAATAAAAAATTTATCTTGTGATTTATATATAAGATACAACAAATTAATAATATAATGATTGTATATATAATATATAAGATTTTTTTTTTACGATTAAAATTAGGGCAGATTTCAACAAAAATAAATAAATAAATGATAATTTTATAATCAGCTTTTTCCTCTCTTTTGTCTCTTTCACCTTAGTCTTAGAAAACACTTTTGAACAAACACTTTATTTGAATTAATTTTATGAATTTGATTCGCTTATCTCTAAAATGAAGAAGGTAATATCGGCTAGCTTTCCATGTACAGAAAAAATTAAAAAAAAAATGTTTAAATTATTATCTTTTGTCTGATAGTTGATATTTACATTCAACTGATAATTTAAATTTATTTTTATTTATATATATATTTAATGAGTATGAGTAATTTTGATATTTATAATTTTAAAAAATAAAATTTATTTTTTAATTTGTTTTATTTTTATCTTACACATATATATAATTTTTATAAATATATATTAATATATTTTTTAAAATAAATGTATATTAGTTCTAATTAATCAAATAATAATTTATATTATTTAATAAAAAAATTATTTATTAAATATAATATATATATAATATGAATATGGGATATATATTATGTTATTTATCTTCATTTTTTATAAAATTTTTAAAATCATACACATCTTAACAACATCTCATAATATACTATACATTTTCATTTTTATTCAAATAAGAAATTTAATTTTTTACTAAATATAGATAAAATTAATATCTCTAATTTTAATATGGATTTTGACTTTTAAGGATGCAATTAAATATAATTAAAATAAAAGAGTTTATCTTAAGTTTTAAAAGAATACAAATTTTTTTTTTAATATATAAACCTAATTTTAAAAAAAAATATCTTTTTCACCTTAAGATTCGTTGGATAACGGCATGTATCCCTTGATAGTGTTGATTCATCTTTCCTCAAATAAAAAAAAAAAAAAAATCTCATGATCTCTTTTTTTTTTCAAAAATAAAAATAATAATTTTAGCTGTAACTAATTAACTAAAGCGTTTAATATAGTATATAGATAGATAACGTGAGGCAAAATGTCCTATCCATTTTAAAAGCAAGAAAGGCCTTTAAAACTACTAATCTCATGTAATAACGTGTTAAACCTAAACTTTAATAATATATAATAATTACGTGTTAAATCAAAACTTTAATAATAAATAATAATTACCCGTGAAATAATAATTTTTTACGCCAATGGGCAATGGTAATTGTGCAGCCGACATTTGAAAGTAATTGACTACCGTATGCAAAACCGCTACGCCTGCATTAGAAGACACCAATCAGAATCTCAAATTGATTCCAGTTACCACATGGTTTAAACTTTTTCTTGTTGGTACTATGAATATATGCCTTATCCCCACTTTTGATCCTCTATTTTCGGTGATTAATAATAACAATAATGATGACGACAACGATGACGAGAATGATGATTGTTTTAAAAAAAATAGTAGGTTTTAATTTAGTGACAGGAAAAAATTTTTAAAATTTTTAGATTTTAAATTTAAATATCATTGTGTGATTTTTATTTAATTATATAAGTTATAATTTATTATTTTATTTGATTGATTATTTAATGATTTTTATATATAAATGTAATATTTATTATAATTATAATATTTTCATAAAAAAAAAAACCATTACCAATATTTATGCTTTAACACTTAGCTACACTGGATTATAGTTTTTTAAAATTTTTATATGTAATTATAAAATAATAAAAATAATACTTTTTGTAATTATGATAAGAATGTATTAAAATAAAAGTATTACTATTTACACCTCAACAATTACTTAATAAACCCCTATATTTTTAACATTTAATTTTTTTCTCAACACACTCCACATTCAAAACATAAATTTAAAAAAAAAACATCACATCTCCCTTTTCTCTCATGCCTATCTTCTTTCTTTCTTCCCAACCAAAAATCTAAAAAGATTTTAAGTTCAATTAAACTAAATTCAAATGAATTTTCACCCATTTGAAGTTAAAAAGCATAAAACCAATGATAAATTATTTGTTCTTTTTACTTTTTTGTTTGATTTTATATTTAATTTCGTAAGATTTTATATTAAAATATTTAGATGTGATTCAAAACTTTCGAAAATAGATTTTCAAAAACTTTTAAAGGTTTTCATAAATAAATATCCAAAATACTTTAAGAACTTCAAAAAATCCAAAGTTTTCATAAATTGATGTAAGAAAAAATGTATGAAAGGCAAAATGGTAATTTATGAATGGGTGTTTAAGTAATTTTATTAAATGTTAAATTTGTAATTTAATTTTTTGGGGTATATAGAGAAAAAATTAAAGTGCAAATAGAAGTACTCTTATAATAATTTTGACAAATTATAATATGAGGGGCATTTTTATACTTCTACTATAAGGGACATTATAGTAATTTTGATAAATTATGATAGGAGGGTACTAATATAATTATGGTTGTAATAGTATTATATTCACCTTGGCCAATTAGGATAAAATGGGTATTTTAATAAATATGTTAAAAGGGCCATTATAATAAATTTGTTAATTATAGGAAAAAGAGCATTACAGTCAATTTAGATGCATGTAATTTAATTGTTAAGTGATTAAAAGGGTATTATGATTATTCTTGGATGTTAAAAATTAATATATAAATTATGAAGCAATCAAAATAGTATTTTCATAATTATGCTTAAAAGGTATTATAATAATTTTGACCAATTATAATATGAGGTATATTTTCATAACCATGATAAGAGAGGCATTATATGAAGCAATTAAAAATTAACTTTTTGTAATAATTATTAAATGGTATTATAATAATTTTAGCCAATTATAACACTATGGGATATTTTCATAATTTTAGTTAAAGGGAATCGTAATAATTTTGACAAATGATAATATTAGGGGTATTTTTATAATTATGACAATAGAACATTTTCGTAGTTATGATTGTTGGGTATTATAATAATTTTGATCAATTATGATTAAAGGAATATTTTAGTAATTATGTTAAGAGGAGCATAATAGTAATTTTGTTAATCATAAAAATAGGGGCATTACAATCAATTTGGATGTATGTAATTCAATTGTCAAGTAATTGAAAGTGCATTATGATCATTTTTAAGGAAATTCATTTTATATTGTTATATGATGTTAAAATTTAATACGTAATTGTGAAGCATTTAAAAGGGTATTTTCATAATTATA